CTTGGTAAAAGTCACAAACCGCTTTCACCTTATCATCCAGTGGCGTGATGCCGTCAGGTATGATATGATGGCCAAAAAAATCGATGGTTGGGATACCAAATAGGCACTTCCCTTGGTTGACAACGAGGCCGAAGGATCGGAGGTGATCGAAGAGGAGCCGCAGATGTTTTTCGTGTTCCTCAGTGGATGAGCTGGCGACCAGCAAGCCGTTGAGATAGGCAAACACAAAGTCCAGGCCTCGGGCCACCTCGTTGACGAACCATTGGAATGTTTGTGCAGCGTGTCGCAGCCCAAACGGCATGCGCACGTTTTCGAAGAGCCTGAAAGGTGTGGTGATGGCTGTCTTAGCGGCATCCGAGGGTTCGATTGGTATTTTATTATTTTTTTATTTATTTAGGTATACTGTTAACCCGTTAGGGTTGTTACAGGGGTGCACAAGGCACGAGAATACATATGACCAAATACAAAAAGAAACAAGGACACTGTATCAACAACAATTCAAACATACAAAAATAGCGCTTGACATTGAATTTATAAATCGTCAAACAGCGACGAAGCAAAGACATCACACAATAACATCACAATTTTCTCATGATTATACGTGAATAGGAAATACTAAGGATTTGATAGATATCATTGAAAAAGGTTCAGAATGCTTTTTTCAAACAAGGTTAGTGTATTTGCTGTTGTTAATTCTTGTGGTAGGCTGTTCCAATCAGTTATCGTTCTTGGAAAAAAGGAGTATTTATATGCATCAATATTTGCCGTATCTATTTGGTAGTGGTTTAAGTGGTTGCCTTTGAGAGGCCTGATCTGCCGAGCAACTATGTAAGGGTCCGTATTAAAATTAAATTGGTCATTTTGTAGCATGTAAAAGAATTTAAGGCGTGCTATTTTTCTACGGTCACAGAGCGTTGGAAGGTTGAGATAGTTAAGCATTTCCTGTACTGATTATGTTCTCTGATATCTCGACAATATAAATCTGGCTGCCATCCTTTGTATTTTTTCTAGTTTATTTATCTGATAGGCTCTAAAAGGATCCCAAATTATAGAAGCGTACCCTAGAGTAGGCCGTATTAGTGCTTTATATGCAGTTAGTCTTGTCTCAGGGGGAGCGAGCTTGAGATTGCGCTTGAGATACCAGAGTTTTTTCCTAGCAGCTGAGCACACATTGTCAACGTGAGTTTTCCAGCTTAAGTTTGATGATATGGTAAGGCCAAGATATTTAAACTCGTTCACCTGTACTAAAGGTTCGTTTCCAAGCTTCTATACGAATGGTAGAATATTTTGTTTTTTGTTAGTTATAGTACAATGTATAGTTTTAGTTAAGTTAATTTTCATTTTTGACTCCTTACACCATTTTTCTACTGTCTGCAGTGCCGAATTAAGCCGGACCTGATCATCGTGGCCAGAGATAACTGAATACAACAAGCAGTCATCTGCAAACAGGCGCACCGCAATAGAGGGTCCTATATTTTTCACTATATCGTTTATATAGCACAAGAATAAAACAGGTCCCAAAACGGATCCCTGCGGAACGCCCGAGGGAACGCGGACATAACAAGAGTTTGTTTTACTTATTTCTACAAATTGTTTTCTATTTGTAAGGTAGGCCTTGATCCACAGGATAACTTTATGGTTTATACCGAGTTTCAGTAATTTATTTATAAGTTCAGGATGGGGTACTCGGTCGAAAGCTTTCGATAGGTCTAGGCATAAGGCATCGATCTGCCCTCTGTCGTTCATAGACGTGGCGAAGTCATGCAATGTTTCTGGAAGCTGGGTCACAGTGGAGAGGGATTTTCGAAATCCATGCTGGTTCGAAAGAAAGATATTCGAGTGTTCTAAAAACTTAAACAACTCCTTTGAAACAATGTGCTCTAGTAGTTTGCAACATGCACACGTGAGGGAAATGGGACGATAATTTTCAACTGAATGTTTATCTCCAGATTTATAAACTGGAACGACCCTCGCTGATAACCAATCTAATGGTACTTCGCAATTTACTAGACTAGCCATAAAAATAACAAAAAGATATTTTGAGACCCACTCGGCGTAGCGCCTTAGGAAGGTATTGGGTATTTCGTCTGGACCGACTGCTTTCTTTGTGTCCATATCTAATAGTAGCGCAAAGATACCCTCTTCTGTAACTTGCAATTCTGGCATATTCGAGTGTGACTCATGACTAAATTCACCAGCATTTTCGGCGAGGTCACAATTGTCTAAGAAAACTGACTGAAAGAAATCATTAAACGAATTCGCCATTTCACCTGGATCAGTGATGACATGATTGTCATGAGCCACGTACTGCACACTATCTCTCGACGGCGAGAGGTGACGCCAAAACCTACGAGGTGATGTTCTTATAAATTCAGGCATGACCTCAGTAAAGTATCGTTCCTTTGCAGATTTTAGTTTATCTTTAAGAATACGAGATATCTCTTGGATTGTAGTTTTATTAGGCGGCTTTTTCTTTCGTTGACGTGCTATTCTACGCTTGAGATGAATTATCTCTCTCATTACCCAGGGGTTTTGCTTTGCAACACGTTTCACTTTTTTTGGAACGAACTTATCAAGACAGTAACGTATTATCTTTTTGAATTGATTCCACAACTGGTTCACGTCTTGTATATCTACGAAAGAAGAAAGGCTTATTTCTAAATGATCCAGAATACTGACGTCATCAGCTCTACTGTAATCATACACTTCAGTTGTCGGGCAGTTTGCATTTAGTGATTGAGCGGTTAATTTGATGGACAGCAACACCAATTTATGATCCGACAATCCATCTTCAACAACCACCTCATAATTTTTTAAAGATTCTGACACAAAAATTAAATCTAGTATAGAACGGGAAGAATCAGTAATTCTAGTAAACTCTTGAACCACCTGTGATAGATTGTTAGAAAAAGCAATGTCAAGCAATAATTCACCGCTTTTAACATCTGTCACACCAGGATCTAGTTGGTCCCATTTAACGCTAGGAAGATTAAAATCACCAGCAATTAATTTTTTAGATCTACAGGTGACATTTTCTTGTAAATAATCATAGATATTCTCTAAAAACTGCGGCGATGAGTCAGGTGATCTATAAACCCCGCCAATTACAATGGAATGCCCGCCGAACTTTACTCGGCACCACAAACTCTCAGTAAATGAACACTCAGGCATCAAAATACACGAAAGGTAGTTCTTGTAAATTAAAGCGACTCCCCCACCACGGGAGCCTCTGTCTTTTCTGAGTATTTTGTGTGATGGTGGCACAATCTCGCAATCATTTATGTGGTCATGTAACCAGGTTTCGGTAACTACAGCAATATGCGGGTTGTACAGCAGTAACAAGTGCTCCAGACTTTCCACTTTGTTAAGAAGGCTTCTTGCATTCACGTTAATCAGACGTAGGCATTTTTCTTTGTTATCAGGGAGTTATCTAGCTTGCTTTTGCGAACCTCGATGGCTGCCAACTTTTTCACGACAATCATCGGCATCGTTCCAGACGAACATTTGGTCATCTATCTGAATCTTATCATGAATAAGTCGTACGTGAGTTCCACTGGCCCTCTCCGATCTTGCGCAATCCCAAAGGTGTTTACGCCTGTCTAGGGTGACTTGGGAATAATCATTCGATACCGATATCTTTGATCCCTTTAGCTTTTTGCAATTCCTAAACACAAGCACTTTTTCATTGTAATCATACAGTTTTAGGATGACCGGTCGAATTTTTCCATCTGTCCTTTTTCCAAGCCTGTGTATTCGTTCCACTGTCTTCACCGATACGCCTAGTTGTTGTTGGAAGACAGTATTTATTACACTTTGTTTCAGGTTCTCAACCGTTTCATTTTGCGTTTCAGGAATGCCAAATACTATTAGGTCATTTCTCCTACCTCTATCCTCAAGATCTGCTATCTTTTCGCGTTGTAAGTAGACCAATTCTTCTAGACTCTGAAGCGTTCCTTGTAGCTGCAATATCTGCTGATTAGGGTTGTGCGAATATTCGAAATTTCGAATAGTAGTTCCGAATAATACACTATTCGATATTCGCTTCGAGAAGAACTTCACTATTCGCGTTTTTCAAAGTGTTGAATGCGGTGGGTTAGCCCCGTTGAGTGCGCTTCTTACCGAGCACCGGTGCACTGCGCAGAAGCAATACCCGCAAAAGCAAGCTCCGCGGCTGTTGCTTCTCCGCATTGCAGGGGTGCTTCGTAAGAAGCGCACTCAACGGAGTAACCCGCCACGATAAACATTTGGAAAAGTATGAATATCGCAGTTGCGTGCTTGGACGAAAACCATACATTCAAAGCGGGATGGTGCACGCGTGCCGGCTGTATATGAAGATAAATGGAAACTTTGTGAATATGTATACTGTAAAACTCTTTATTTTCGGGGCCCCTATTTTTCGCGAATCGGTCAGAGGACATATCGCGGCCACTAAAGTTCGCTAATTCCAGATACCTACATTGAAATTCTTGAAGACCGAAATCTTCGCGTGCCTTTAAGTTTCGCGAATTTTTCAATTCGCGATATTCGCGAAAATTAAGGGCTCGTAAACATTAAGGGTTTTACAGTATCGACATTGTAGTAAAAGTTTTAAAATTAAACTGACTGTTTTGCAAGAGTATATGTTGGGCAGAAATGCCCTTACAACCTGCGTTCATCATGCGCGAGTCATTCTTTTTTAACTGGAAATTAAAGAAAGAATATTTAAGATTTGTAAATTCACTCAATTGCATATAGTTTATCCATTTCCATTGGATTCATTTTATGTTAAACTTGTTGTTTACTTACCATCCCAAGAGATCAGACATTCTGAGGTCACAGTTCATAAATATAGATAGATTAGACTAGGCTTATAAATGAACAGGTGGAACAGCCTTCACAAGTTTCGCTGGGGTTTTGTCTAAGCATTATGTTATGGTAGTGAAAGGCGTGGAAAAACTATTCGATATTCGATTCGAAAATATTCGGCCAAAACCACTATTTGCTTCGAATTCGCTTCGAACTCAAAATCCCCTATTCTTTTGGAGGACGTCAAGGGCTGTCTCAAGGTGGGTGATTTTATCGGCCATTGCGTTTTGTCTTTGCTGGGACGCTATCTGGTTTTCCTTTACTTCCTTAAGTTCACTTTTCAGCTGTTTTTGGTTTTCGAGCACTTGGGAAATCATCGTTTCTAGTCTCGTCTCTGGGCCCGGGTTTCGTTCGACGTCAACAGAAAGAAGTAACAGCAGATTATCCCGACAATTCATGGCACAATCAAAGAACACTTGTGGGCACGGCAGAACAATAATAAATCGGTTGTCACTTCTAAAGTTAACGCAATTTCCATCACTAACCTGTTGGATTACAAACAGGAGTGGCATGTTAGATGACTTGTCGGTTCCGAAGTTGCCGTGCCCAGTGAAGATTGCCGCCGCGGGATCCGCTCTTGTACTGCTCCGGCACTGTTCCATGGTTGCTGCGCGATGATTGTGCAGCAGGCCTGCGATGCTGTGGTTGACGGGCGGGACGAAGGTTTCTTGCTGGACGAATCCGGATCCCAAGGCGAGAGTAGCCGACGACGGGCCGTGAGGCGGACACGCGGTGCATATTAGCAGCATCTGTTTGATTACAAACAGGAGTGGCATGTTAGATTACTTGTCGGTTCCGAAGTTGCCGTGCCCAGTGACGATTGCCGCCGCGGGATCCGCTCTTGTACTGCTCCGGCACTGTTCCATGGTTGCTGCGCGATGATTGTGCAGCAGGCCTGCGATGCTGTGGTTGACGGGCGGGACGAAGGTTTCTTGCTGGACGAATCCGGATCCCAAGGCGAGAGTAGCCGACGACGGGCCGTGAGGCGGACACGCGGTGCATACTAACAGCATCTGTTGGATTACAAACAGGAGTGGCATGTTAGATGACTTGTCGGTTCCGAAGTTGCCGTGCCCAGAACAAGTTTATTCTGGTGAAGACGGACTTGCCTGCGAGGTTCGTTGTGAAGTCCTGGATATGCCGAAGTGAAAACGGGTCCGGGACGGTGTCGACGTTCAGCGCGCGGTAATTGCCACACGGTCGCCAATCACCACCCATTGCTTTGGGAACCAGGCGCAGAGGCCATGACCAGTTGCTCGCCGATGGCCGTACGATGCCCAGTTGCACCATGTGATCAAACTCGCGGCGGGCAACGTTGAGTCGCTCACCCTTGAGACGACGCGGTCGCGCGAACGTGGGAGGGCCAGTAGTCACAATGTGGTGGGGGACTGAGTGCCGCACAAGTTGATCCAGGCTATTGGTCCTTGTGTGTTAGGAAACTTGGCCAGCAGGTCCTCAAACGTTGAACTGGGGGGCGCAGGATGTACCTCCAAGATCACGTAAGAAGACGCGAAGTCGTTGACGGAAAGACGAGGCGTTGCGTCAACGAGGCGGCGGGAATACTTGTTCACAGCGAGGCTGAAGTGGCTAAAAAATTCTGCTCCGAGGATAGCCGTACGAATGTCCGCCACAATGTAGACCCACCAAAATGTCAGGCCCAGGCTGAGGTCGATGGTCAAGGAGCGTTGCCTATATGTTGGCATGGACGAACTGTTGACTGCGCGAAGTAGCGCTGTCTGGGAAAGGCGGCGCCTCTCGGCTGGTGTCACTGGCAAAACGCTGACTTCCGCTCCGGTGTCCACGAGAAACCGGTGGCCAGCGATGCGATCCACGACGTAAAACAATCGGCTTTGTCGTAAACCGGGTGCATCCGCCGCTTCTAGTGCCCGGCGGTCGGGTTTCCCTGCCACGAACATGGCTGGGAGCATTTGCGCGCTGCTGCTAGAAAGGAAAGATGGTACCAGCAATGTTCGCTGTCCGGCGACACAGCCGCCGGGGAAGCACGACAAGAGCTCGATCGCCGACGGGAAGACGACGGACGGGAGGCAGGCAGTCGCAGGTCTTGGATGGCCTTTCCCAAGTGGCGCTACCGAGCCGCTATATCCTGGGAAGGTGCGGCTGCAGCGGGATCCAATGCTCATGATTGAAAGCTGGTCGCGGCGACAACCAGGGCCGTGGAGAAGGGATGGGCAGTATTTCAAATACAAGTATTTATAATTCGTATTTCAAACACTTTGTGTAGTTTGCATTTCTATTTAATTTCAAATTGGGTAATGGATTTGACGTGTGTATTTAAATACTAAAACGTGGGTATTTCAAATACTGTTGTAATTAAATACAATTTTGTGGGCGAAAATTCATCCCTCAAATTTATTGTCACTGTCCAGATCAGGAAGAAAAGCACGTTCTGCACCGAATGCAGTGTCTCTAAATTAAGCACAAGTGTTTAGTGACTTTGTGATTACGGTGCTAGTCCAAGTCAAGAATGGTGACGAAATCGACGTTCACAGGCAGACTGGCTAAATAAGTGCCTGTGACAACTTGTGATGCTTTCCAGCCTGATTTCCATTCATATTTTTGCCTGGAACTTTCTAAATGCCCGAGTCGTCCAGATTTTCGTAAATGGTGCGAGTTGCAACAATAAAAAATTATCTAGCTTGTGCTGTGCGTCTTGGTCGTCTCGGTTCTTTGTTGGTCTATACCACAACGTAATCGGCAAAAAAAGCTGCTCGAAGCTCTGTACGTTTTTCACCTATTACGTCCAAGCTGATTGCATTTTTTTTGTGATTATATTTCTATTACGTTACTAGAGGCCCGCACACTAACTCCCGAGTGTGCGATGCAGAATTAAAATGAGATACCCAGAAACCCGTTGCAGGTGCCCTGATGTCGCTGACGCAAATTTTGAGGAATGTATTTGGAAAAGTATTTGGAGGAGACCAAATACATTTGGTTGTATTTGTATCTTCTACTTAAATGCTTTTTTTTTAAATGTAATCAGATTTGTAATTAAATACATCCTTGACGAAGTATTTTATATTTGTATTTCGATACATATTTCTATGTATTTTGCCCATCCCTGCTGTGGAGTATTCCGCAACTCGATCCGCCAGACCAGCCAGGCGCTCCAGGGGCATGTCCTCAGCCCCTGCGAGCACGACGACCATGTTGTCGGGCAAGTGCTGCAGAAATGGCTCACGGAGGAGCGATGTGTCAGCATCCGAAGTGGCGTCGCCCAGAAGTTGTCGCATCCGGCGCAGTAGCTGGGAGGGACGCTGGTCACCAAGCTGCTCCGTGTTGAGGAGGTGCTGGAAGCGGATCCGCTCCGACGCGGTCTTTCGGGCGAGGATAGCGTCCTTGAGGTTGTCATACTGGTTGGATGACGGCGCCGCCGCGAGTATGTTCTCTAGTTCGTCGGCGACTTCAGCTGGCAGCGAGGAGGCGACGTGAAGATATTTAGTGGCTTGCGAGGTGATGTGATGCAGTTGAAATTTCACCTCAACCTCCGTAAACCAGGCCTTGGCGCTCTTCGTCTAAAAAGGAGGCAGCTTGAGTCAAATTTCCGCCAAAAACACCGTCGGAATGGCAACACTAGCAGCAGAGTGTTCCTTTTCGGACATGGTTGGAAAATTGCCGGTAACCGCGAAGGAGTCCCTCGTCCGGGGTCACCAATTTGTGGGGCAGTATTCGGAGATTTTTGAGGACTCGAAGGAAAAACGTCTGACTCCGTGTTTGTACAAAACGGCTCTGTTTATTGTCCTCTCAGGCGGCAGCGCGGAAGGGATCGAGCGGCAATCCCCGCGGGGACCCTCTTGCAGGACCTTCCGAGGGGTGGCCGCGTTCTTATTATTTTCACCCCGCGAGGGAAAAGGCGGCGTAGGTCTTGCCGCGCGGACCCCACTTTTTGCTTGTTGATGTGACTGGCGGTGAGGAGACCGCCACACACTAAAATATAAAATATATCCTGCCACGACCCCGCCCTCTCCTCGATTCGCATTTGGCTAGACCACAAGTCTTACCATTTTAGTGTATAAGCTGTAATATATTGAAATTAACTCTGAAATTTAGTTTTCCAGGTAATACAGGTAATTAATAATTAACAAACTTAAAGCCATTCAAGAAAAATGCAGGCCAACAGTTGTTTTGCTGCACTCCGCTAGAGCAGTCACAAAAGCCCTTGGGTTCGCGCCTCACAATTTGGGAAGCACTCCTGTTTAATTATACAATTACAGAGTGCTGCTTAGAACATTTTTTAAAACATATATAAGTAGCAACTCTTGACGTAATACCGTGCAAAAATTTAAACCAACTCTAACACAATCTCACGGAAACATAATCCCAAGTTACCACAGAATAAAAACCAATAAGAACAAGACGAAATACGCAATGGGCTGTCATTTTGCTTTAATTCAATACACATGGAAATAAAAGAGGAATAGGAATGCCAATAGGCATACTTTTTGGTTCTATAGGAGGTTGGACTGCTCCCATAGGGACTTTATCGGACCATTAGAAATTTTTATCAGTCAAATGAAATGGTTTGTTTGCCAAATGGGAATTCTAGGCCAGTTGTGCATCTATATTTGAGCAAAAGGAACCAATTAGACATATGTCTGTCAGAACTATGTAAATGCATATTGGACGCAACATTTCAGGATCGGATCAATGAGAACATGTTTCTATACTCTTGGAAAGTTGTTTTTCGACGGAGCTGATATATTTGTCAGATATGAGGTAAAAATAGTCCCTGTCAGAAGTACACATTCCCCTTTGATGCATGTGTCATTTAGCCTCGGCTGTGTGATGCAAATATCTGTTCCACGTCCAAAGGATGTGTCCACACTAGAATCCAAGCACATATAAACGTACATTAGTCAAGTTAATTATGCGACATTGTTAACCTTATTTTTCAATATTTTCTGACGGAAAAAAATGGTTTCAGCCCAGGTTGTTTAAAAAACACACTATCGTTGTATATCACTGGAGTTATGAAAATATTTTTCTAATAAAATAACGATAGCTGAGTGTAAATTAAAAGTATTCTACACGAAAAAATAACAAAAATATCTTGAAGAAATCTATTCCCTACTGCATTGCACCCGAAACAAATAAACCGTCGGTGCTAGTTGACATTTACACACATATTTCCTGTGCTTAGAACAATAACTATATTCATTGTCTTTTATTCCTAAATTTCTACAGACATTTTTACGGCACCCCTCGATCGCGATTCGGTCAGTTTCAGTTTCGGTATTGTAAGGAACACGCACTGGTTCCGGTTTCGTATTGTAAGGAGCGTCTTCGACGCCCCATCGTTAGCGACACCGCGACACCAGTTTTTTGTTTTCTTTTCCCGGCATGGTTGTGTGAGTCGTGCGTCGAGAACATTTTTGTCTTGGGATGGAAATGACTTTAAACATGGAAATGTGCTAATATAATCAAGTTTATCACTCTGTGAAGTTTTCTATTGGGGTGACTATGTTAAAGAAGAACGCGGAAGACCCAGGACGCGACAGAACGAGCAACTCAACTCAGTTGGTAAGCATGCTTCTTTGTTTGCATTGTAGACGCGCGGAACAAGTTGTGATCCTTAGGGAGTTAGAGAATAACGTCCTCAACCTCCAAGTGTTGTGTTAGCATGGGGACAAGAACACAACCATTCCCTCTCGATCCCAGGCAAAAAGTGTTCTTTACTTCGTCGTCCTCTAGCAGCCCCCCACCACCTTCGGCACGCGATAGCACGCGTAACCTAGCTTACTCAACACCTCCCCCTTTT